TGTTTGTTATTTTGAAAAAGTATGGCTTATAAGCCAAGCAAATAGGACGCATCTTAGCCTTCCTTTCCTTCAGCTGGATTATAGTACAACAAAGGTTTTGCATAGATGCAGACTTTTCTGTCTGTATATATTAAAAAAAAGCGCAACAGTAGAACTGTGGATGTGAAAGTCAACCACGCACCCTGCGGTCGTACTGCTACTACAAGACCCAAGTGGCATTCACAGCCAAGACCCAAGTGGTATTCAGCGCTGTAAATTGCCTTGCCTGAGAAGAAAGAAACCTCAGACTCCTCAAAGGGGCCGTGCCTTGAGTCCATTACCATGTGGCTGGCCCGTCAGTAACGTAACCCATACCACCCCTAGCCGTTGCCGGTAAAACCTCACCCGGTATGTGACCAAAAACCACCACTGTCATATTAATCATCTCCAGCAAAACTACAGAAAACTACGAATCAATGTAGGAGCATCAACATCACAGATGAATGAACATATATAGCAAGTATGAGTCAGTTTTCGCCAATTTTGCGCATGCAACGTTGCAACTTCATGGGCACGAAACATCGATGCGTGAGGAGAAAGATTAGCATTAGCATTTTAGATAGAATCCAGATGGTAACAAAGGTACCGTACCATCGAGGGCAAACCAGCACGCACCAAACAAAAGTTACCAAACTATCCCTTACGTACTTTTGCTAAAGAAGATAACAAGCTGATACTACAGTCACTTGCTGCTTCCTGCGACTGCTACTAGCATCCTATTCAATCAATTAACAATTACTGATAGCTACTAGCAGCTGATTAGCTCATGGTAACATCACCAGCAGAAGACGAGTTAAAGAAAGAATGAACAGCACCGGATTGTGATTGGCCAATTTGCCTTTCTTCAGGGTTCCTGCGCCCTCGTCGACGGGACGACGACGGCTCCACGGTGCTTGATTCATGGGCCGGCGACGACGCAGTTTCTCACCGGTCGTCCGGCACCCGGTAGGTCTCGGCGGTGATCTCCGACAGCCACGAGCCGGGGAATAGCATCTGGGGACGCAAGGTTTTACGAAATTACAAACGGGTCCCTGGAACAGGGCAAAGGGACGGAGCGGAGGAGGCCGGAGGGAGGGAGCGGGGACTCACATCGAGCTGCTTCTGCACGGGGCGGGGCCGCCGCCTAGGGCGGCGGCGCGGCCGCGCGCCCGTCACGGCGTAGATGTCCTCCTCGATCTCCTCGCTCGTGAGCGTCACGGAGAACCGCGCCCGGTCCAGGGCCTCCGCGCAGGCCCGCGACGGCCTCCGCTCGTGCGGCGGCGGCGGCGACATGCTCGCGGACGGCGCCGCCACCTTGGGCTTGGGGCGCCGCCGGGTGCGCAGCTTCCACGGTGGCAAGGCGGGGGCGGCGGGCTCCGCCTCCGCCGCCGCCACGTGGTCCGCGTCGGCGGCGTCGCTGCTCCCTGCTTCCGCCTCGTGGTGATGGCTCAGCGCCGCCTTCTCCTCGACCACGGCGAGCTTCCCCGGGGAGCGCCTCGCGGTGGCGGTGGCGTCGCCGGCGCGGTTTACGTGGGCGCAGCGCAGGGCCCGGTGGCTCCCCCACGTCTTGAGCGACGGGAACGCGGAGAACGCGGCGGCCTGGCGGGCGTTCGACGTGGCCGCGGCCGCCGCCTCCACTGCCGCGGCGTCGGCGGCGACGGGATCCGGGGGAGGCGGCGGGGGCGGCTCCGCCGAGATCACCATGGCCGTGGGCGACGTGGCTGCGACGCGCTCGGATGCGGGAGCAACCCTTGGCGGCGGCGGGCTGCGGCGTAGAGAGGAGCGTGTGGGACGTGGTGAGGAGGAAGGGAGGAGGCGAGGAGACGAGACGAGAGGGAGGTGCGTCGGCTCGTCCTCGGCTCTCGGCGATGAAAGTGTGGGGGAAAGGAAAAATAGATGGAATAGTGGGTGTTGGTGATGAATAAATATTGAGGGCGTGTGCGTTGAGGGCTTGACGGTCATTTCGTATTTCAGTGTTGTTATCATTTTCTTTTGCTTCTGCGATTTTAGATGAGACGATGCATACTCTCATTTCTTTTTTCCCGGTGCGTGCTCTTGATGTTGACGTAGATCATTGGATGGACGGTTAGTTGCACTCAGCAGCTGTCTCTTTGTTTTTCTATTCTTTGTTTTAGACTTTTTTTTCTTAAAAATATTGTAGTATAAGTTTCATGCTAAGGATGATTTTAATTTTGATGATTAGGTTTTAGAGTTATAGAATCTTTCCAAAATAGGGAAAATCGTCTAAGGAGCCAGGTTTACTCAACGACAATAATAGTGAAGTGTAGTGTGGCATGCTAAGGTGCCACGCATCGTTGGTGGCATATTATTAGCGTGGGAAGCAAGTAATAGAGGATTTGATAATAAGAATAGAAAGATACAAGATAGAAAAGGGAAGCAATGCGAGAGCATTAGGTCACGAGAAGATGATGAGCAAGTTGGAATACATGTCGAAGTAGAGCTCGAGTCACATTATGATGTTTTGGCTTCATTACATTGTAACATTTACTCTTTTATTAGAATTCTATGTGTTATCATTTTTCCCTTGCTTATGTTAATTATCTTTTTTAGAAATTGCAAGTAAGTTTATTTAGTCGCAGAGGGACTTTGTTGGTCATTTATTGGTCACAACTCACAAACAAAGAAGTGGGTTTTGGTGTACACAAGAAGTTTTTTTGTACCATCGTGACACGTAAAGTTTAGCAAAGCATGTCTCTTATTATTACTTACCAGGCACAAGCGTAGCATATAGCACATCAAAATGGAAAAAAAAATGGAAGGGACAATGTTCTAATAACGTAGAGGTACAGTACTACATGGATTACTCATAGTAGTATTGGTTTCCTCGTGTAAGGTGCAAGAATTTCTAGCCACGGCCGCTTGTTTTCGTAACACCAGCCGCCCTGGATGAATAGATCGAGGACGCAACAAAAAGAGAGCGTGCTTGGTATGATGACGGAAAGCGATATGCCCCTGAGAGGATTCCTTGATGATTGTTGGCAAAGTACCGTGGTCTTGTACGCAAAGAAGCCCTTACTATTATGCTCTGGCCGAGTGGCCGGCTGGCCGGCGCGGTGTGGCGCTCGCTGGCTGAGTTGGCGCTGCCTGTCACTGCCACACGCAACGCGAGCTGCGGATCCATCTGCGAGCGCGCGCCCCGCACAAGCACAACCACCTGCACGTTTATTAATAACGCCGTCACTTCCGGACGGGATGCCCAACGAACTGGCTGACATGTGGGACCAAGGAAACAACAGGCGTTGCCTGGCCCCACATGTTGGTTTCGCTTGTACGCAGCGCCCCGTACCGTTTGTGTCGCTGTAGCCCTGTATGCATCATCGAAGGCCAACGGGTTTGGGAGACGGGAACGGAACGACGCGGCGTGCGGGTGATGCCACTGACGCGTGGGCCCTAGGATTTGGGGCCCCCGTGTCAGCATGTATGATGCATGGTGCCATGCTGGTCTGGACTCTGGACGTCTCAGCCAGCCAGCCAGTCTCAGGTTCGAATGTTCACAAATCACAAGGGCGCTGCTGCCATGTGGGGGCCCGGCAGCGCCCACATGGGATGCAGAGCACGGGGAGCTTTCGCGATGCGACTGACCGACTGTTGATTCTTCTCTGATTTCGGCCTTTCTGGCCTGCCTGCGTGCCTTCTCTGCTTGGACGTGTTGTAATGCGACAAACCCAACAACACCTTTTACGTGAAACGGATCTCTACTGTTGTCCTTGCCGTGTTGCGTGCTTCGGTGCTTGCGTTCTGCTGTTGCATGAAACGGATTCCTCGGCGGCATCAACGAGCAACATCGAATAGCAAGTCGCGGTTTGTGTCGTTCGCTAGGTTGGCCACAGTAACTGATCCTCTTTGCCTGGTCGCTTGAACTCACCAGAGTGGGTTATCAAACATAGAATAATATTTTTCTTTCACAATAAATCAGCTTCAGTCGGCTTATCAGTCGCAGAAACCATCGACCAAATAACTTACGTTCACAATACAGTCAAATAATTCACATCTAACCATTACCCTTATTTCTCAAATAACTTACGTTCACAATACAGTCAAATAATTCACATCTAACCATTACCCTTATTTCTCAACACCATTTACTGCTCCCTCGCGAGGCCACATCACCACCTTCATGTCCATTCGAGTTCGCATCTACGGCCACAGGCGCATCACCGGCCTAGGAACTCCCCTGAACCTTCCAGTAGAAAAAGGCACCGTCCTCTCTCTCCCCGTCGTCACAATTTCTCCCCACGCAGCGTCATTGCCCCACTCCACCCCGTCCCACCTCGCCCCATCACCATCTCTCCTCCTGGCCCCCCGGCTAGCCCGTCTTCTTGGCCGAAGTGGCGGCGTGTCCCAAAGTGCATGGCGGCGTCCTCCCGTCTTGTTGCCGCAAGCGGGCCTCCTCCCGTCCCAGCGAACGCGCCTCCGCCTCTCCGTCGCGCATTGCCTTGTATTAACCTCTTACTCACATGGATGGCAGAGGTCACGCAGTATGCTTTTATACAATTCAATCATTTTCTTGAGAAATTATACACTTCAATCAGTACACGCCTCTAGCAAATATTACAATTATTTTTTGAAATCCACGAATCGGTCAAATGCCTTATAATATCCCCTTCTCCAAGGAATCCAAGCAGGTTTCATATGCACTTTATACTTGAATCTCACAAATATGCATTTTATACGAATCTCAGAGCATATCAAACCTGGGTTCCCACTTCCCACCATCTCGTCCTGCCAGCTGGGCCCTACCGGTCCCCGTACATCGCAGCAGTCAGCAGCAACCGCCTGATGAATTTTGCTCTGAAGCAACCAACCGCTTCAGACTTCAGAGTCCAAAACCGCTCGCGTCGCGCCCTGTCCCTCCATCACCACCACTTCTTCCTCCACCCGTGCTCTGCTTCGTTCGAACTCCACGCTTCCCTCCTCGTCTCCGTGTCTCACCCAACCCACGATCCGACGACGCGATCGCCATGGAGCAAGACGAGCGCGAGGTCCCTGACCAGCCCGAGGGGAAGGAGAAGGAGCAGGGAGGCGGTGCTCCGGTGCCGGGCGGGGTGGCCGGTGCCGAGGGCGGCCTGGCGCGCGGGGCCGCGTCATCGGAGCAGGAGGGCGTCTCGGGGGCGGGCAATGACGACTACCATGCCGCTGCTGGATCGGAGAGCGACGATGAAGAGGATGTTGAGGCGATCTTTACTTCGGTGAGGCGAGTAGCGATTCTGCATCCCGGAACGCCCCGTTCTTCATTTCGTTCTTGGTTCGTTGTAACAGGAAGCTTTGACGGAGGAGTTGGAAGGGGTCGCTCCGGCGAGCAATGCTGGTCGTGGCAATGCGCCGGGGACGGGGAGTGGCCGGAACGAAGACCTTTACTTCGGTAAGGCTTCCGTCACATCCCGAAGTGCTCCCCTGTTCTTGTTTGTCTTCTTGATTCTGGGTTTCTAACTAACCATGGATTTCTCAGAGCTTCGAGGGTTTCGACCGGCCAGGCGAGCGGTCGCGCACGCGATGCCGCCGTCGTCCTACCGCCGCCTGCCACTCCGAAGCAGGAAGCAGTACAGCCCGACCCGCTTCATCTTTGCGGGAGACGCGGCGTCGGGCATCGCCAATGCTCATGATCCTGGCACGTCAGAAGCAGCAAGCGGCCCACTGCCCACCGCCAGCCTCGGCTCAACGTCGGCGACGTCGCGATCCGCCGGTGTCTCTGCATTGGCCAATGCCGGGCATGGCGCCAAGAACGAAGCGATGGTCTCGACGGCGACGAGACGCTCTGGTAAGGTGTACATAGCCCGAGCGCATTCGTTCTTTGACGTCTTTGCGATGCATCTGATCGAACGCATCTGACAGAGATTGACGTTGCGGTTGACAAGTCGTGCTCCGACGATCACAACACCGAGTCGAAGGATGTGGAAGCGACGCGGGCATCCTCGTCATGCCGCCATCCTTCTCGTGGCAGGAAGCAGCGCCGCCCTGATCGCTGCATCTCCGACCCCGAGGAAGAAGCCGGGGCCACAGCCGCAGCCCGTGCGGCCGTGCCAAGGCTCGTCGGGGTAACGTCGCCCTCGACAGGTTCCTCACTTACCTGGTCCGCACCACGCCGGGACAGAGGCCGGAGTGGGTGAGGAATGTCACGGCCGACGATGTCGGCGTCCAGGGGCAGCGCGACAGCAATGTCTCCAGGACGGCGTCAGGGGGCGGTCCAGAAGGGCAGCCTGACGGGGGCGCAAGGATTCTCGCCATCGTGGCCATTCTCGGGGCTTCCCTGGCGCTCAGCTTGGTCTCGTGCGTGCTCTTCTACAACGTCGGTCAAAGAACAGCCTCTGGGTTCGACACGCACCAGGAGAAGGTAAGCGTCTCGCTTCGGATTTCAGATGAGTGATGACCGATTGCTGATCTGCTGCTGCTTCTGGGTTCTGACGTGAATATGTCTGTTCTTCAGTGAGCGATCTGAATGGTACTGCTTCAGCGTTCAGAGAAGGCTGCAAACCATAGCTAAGGTCCTTCAAGCTCATGTGTTGTTGCGAAGTAGTGAAATGTGAAATCCTTGGAGTTGCAAATCTGTAATAAGTGGAAGTGATTTTTGTCTGGAAAGTTTACTGTTGTGGGGAATGGAACCGAGTTATTGCTGTTCACTGTATAGTTCATGTACATCTGCTTTTCAGAATGACAGGAAGGTGACATTTTTGTGTTTAAACTCCCAGCTTTGCAGTTTCGGAATTCTTATACCCATTAGTCTATCTATACAATAGTGTTAAAAGATGTAAACATGTCGAGTTTCTCCAATACATTGTTATTGACAATGCCGTTGAGGATCCAATTGTGTTTCCTCGACTTGGATCATTGATCGACACAAACAATAAGTAAATAATTCATGGCTATACCAAAAGATTTCATTTCTTTAAAAAACTAAGGAAGAAAGGCAACATTAAGTGTATATATACAATTGTTCAATTGGATGTATATGAAACTTTTATCCAAATTATTGAATGGGAGAAAAGATCGACCAACGTAGTATAAAAAGTACTAACTACCCGAGCTGTTTGTGTCAATCATCATGCTCCTCTCTCCATCGTGAAATATAAGGGTTTATTGTAAGTTAAATTGTGAGAATTTTGACTAAAATTATAGAAAAGAATAATAATAATTATGATATTAAATTTTCATCGGATACATTATGAAATATATTTTCATAATTTATATATTTGATATGATAGATGTTAATACTCTTTTTTTTGTAAGTTTAGTAAAATTTTGCCCAATTTGATTTAAGACAAATTTGGATTCCCTATATTCCAGAGGGAGTAGTAATTATAGTTTTAGTGAAAAGGTTTTATGAAGCCGGATGGAAGGTTCAACGGGTGAACGTTTGATGAGATTTAAAAATGTGGGCTGCAAATTAAAAAAAATATTGGTTTAATTAGTGAACATGTGAGATTTAAAAGACTGGCTACAAAATTGGCAAAAGAAGAGTAAACATGTGAGATTTAAAAGGGCTGGTTACAGATTAAAAATCTATAAAATATGGTTCAAAATGAGTGAAGAGATTTAAAAAGACTGACGACGGCGGCTGGTGCAACACAACAAACAAGACCTGAGAGATCTAGGCCTTGTTTAGTTGGCTGAATTCGCCGTCCTCGGATTCACTATGCGCCTGTAGAGCACGGTAGCATTTCGTTTGTATTTGGTAATAATTGTTCAATCGTTGACTAATTTGGCTTAAAACATTCGTCTCGCAAAGTACAACCTAACTGTGCAATTAGTTTTTGATTTCGTCTACATTTAGTACTCCATGCATGTACTACAAGTTTGATGTGACGAGAAATCTTCTTTTTGCATAGTGCCAAAGTTGGGAGTTGGGAGCGACTAAGACCATGTTTAGTTTTCCGATTTCCTGAACAAGACGCTAGAGAGAGAAATAACCGTGTCTTTCGAAAACAATGCATGACTGCCCAGCAAGTGGTGCACTGAATACAAGACGAAGGTTGTGGAGCTACACAGGCAACAAGGGGCTAGGAGTTCTACTGTCTGACTCCAGAGCATTAGGCTGGAGTTGTGTATGTCTAGTAGATCGTTGACTATAAAGGGTATGTTCGCTTGTCTGAATTTTAGAGAATTTAGATGGTTTGGAGGAATGCTGAAAGAATTTATGAGAGAAAAACTACTGTTCCGGATAAAAAAATAAGCGGATCAAGCCGGATTTAAGGGCACGCGAACAGGACCAAAGTCGCTATTTGTTTTCTTGTAATTAACCCTGTTCAGCGGTTTAACAAAACCGGCTGCCGCCCGTAACCGGCCCAGTGAAAATCACCATCACGGTTACAGAGCGGCTTGTTGGGAGAGAAAACCACCATCACGGCTTAACAAAACTGGATTATTTACCGTTCATACTAGAAAATACTATTTATATTGGAATGGTGTGACAGAAAAACACTGCCCCCGCTGGGGAAAAAAAAAAAACCGGCTGACCAGCCAGCCGAACAAGCTGTTGAGTTGCAACCCGTGTACCCAGCGCTGGAATTTGGGAGCCTTATCCGGTCCGCCACCGAAACTCATCGAAACCCGGGGAAACAAAAAATCCGCTGGCGGCGGTGCCGCAGCGCAGATCTAGCGCGAGCGGGTTGCAACTCCGAGCGAGGCGGCGGCGGCGGTGAGCACGCCAGTGTCGAGCCCGGCGGCGGTTGGCGTGAGCGCGGCGGCGGCGGGCACGAGCTCAAGCGCGGAGACGGGGACGCGGCGGCGGCGGGCGCGAGCTTGAGCACGGCTCCGGCGGGCGCGGTACCAGCGACCGCGGCAGTAGCGGGCGCGAGCTCGAGAGCTGCACCAGCTAGCGTGAGCTCGAGCGGCGGGTCCACCGCGGCATTTTCGCTTGAACTTATCAGCCGAAAGCTACAATCTACGCTATTTTTCTCTCGTACTAAATCGGTTTTAGCCGCCTGTCTGCCGCATAAACCGGACCAACTCTGTGTGCTACGAAAATGGGTTGGGTTGCAAACCCGTTCAAAGCCGCAAAAACCAAACCATGAACAGGGTTACTTGTAATAGATTTCCTGTAAAACTAGGGTGGCATGGGACTCATAAAGTTGAACTCCACAAAAAAAAAGGGCTGACGTAGCTTGCGCCGCTTATAGGCTTTGTAATTTATGCTCTTCTCTTATAAATGAAAGCCAATAACTCAGACCTTTCGAAAAAAAAAACTAGCTACATAATGAATTTGCAAAAAGAGGAAACAATAGCTACAATTTTGCAAAAAGAAAAAAGGGCGAACGTGTGACATTTAAAAAGGCCGGCTATGGATAAAAATCATTAAAATATTGGTTGAATGAGTGAAGAGATTTAAAAAGTTTGGCTACAGAATAAATTTGCAAAAAGGAATGAATTTGCAAAAAGAGAAAAAATAGCTAGAAAATTGAAAAAAGAAAGAGGGTGAACACATGACATTTTAAAAGGCTAGCTACAGATCAATAATCAATAAAATATTAGTTCAATGAGTGAAGAGACATTTTAAAAGGCTGGCTACAGATAAAAAATCAATAAAATATTGGTTCAGTGAGTGTGGAGATTTAAAAAGTAGCTACAGAATGAATTTGTAAAATGGGAAAAAGTAGCTATATTTATTGGTTCAGTGAGTGTGGAGATTTAAAAAGTAGCTACAGAATGAATTTGCAAAAAGGGGGAAAATAAAAAAAATAGCTACATAATGAATTTGCAAAAAGGGGAAAACTACAGAATGAATTTGCAAAAAGGAATTTTTTTTAAAAAGTAGCTACAGAATGAATTTGCAAAAAGGGAAAATAATTGGCTACAGAATAAAAAATGCTTTCGTTGAGAGTCGAACTCAAGACCAAACTACAGAATGAATTTGCAAAAAGGGGAAAAATTGAAAAGGTATCTACAGAATGAATTTGCAAAAAGGGAAAATAATTGTCTAGACCTCCCGCTTACTAAACGGGTGCTCTAACCAACTGAGCTACGAAAGCAACTCTATTAGGTAATTTGCAACTGTATTAGGTAATTTAAATCTTTACTATTCATGGATCTACGTCAGTGTACAACAATATCTAGCTACATCTACCATTCTGCCGGCTAGTCGAGCAGGCGCACACACAAACGTCATGTTCTACCCAGGAAAAAATATTACAGAAAACTTAATAAGACAGAACAACTGGAAACTCGGAAAAAAAAATACCTGCGTCTTTACTAACCAAATCTCCTCTAGAGAAAAAAAAAACTTTATTTGTTCCACTGAGCTGCATCACTTTGTGGTATTTCTTTACAAAAAAATTTTCAAGTACAGATTTGACTCAATTATAATCAGCTTGTTCGCTTGTTGGTTTCAGCCAGGGCTTATCAGCCAGCCAACGGTGTTTTCCTCTCACAAAAACCAGCACCAGCCGGGCTTATCAGCCCAGAAACCAACCAACGAATAGACCGAATGTAACATGCGCAATAACAATAATCTGCTCTGATGTAAACAGCATCTTCCCTTGCTAGAGACGAACAAGCCGTTTGCAAACAAACTGCATTTGCAAGCTAGAATAGTATTGCTTACAGCATTTCAAAATGTGGTTATAGAGCCTCCCCTTATTTGACAGAAATACTTCTAACCTTTGCTATTTTTCTCATCTCACCAAAATGTGTCAAACTAACTGAAACAATATTACAAATGAAGGGCCTCGCCCGCTGTTTGTCTGGATGAAACAAGCAACTCTTTGAACTGTGCTAATGCCTTCTCACTTATGGGCTTAAACGGTATGCGCTTTATCATATGGGCTCCAAAGAAGTATAACAGGGCATCTGTTGCAGTTTTCACGTTGATACCTCTTGCCTGGAAGTAGAAGAGCTCATTTGGATCAAGCTCACCACTGATGGCGGCACCATGAGTACACTTCACATCATCAGCAATAATCTGAAGGTTTGGTTTGACATTAACAAGCGCCTTTGGTGATAGGATAAGACACTTGGTTTCTTGCCCCGCATCAGTTTGTTGTGCATACCTGTGAATCAAGACCATCACAATATTAGGATGCAAATCTAGGATTGCAGCTTCAGACACAGGTGTGTCATGACTCATGAGTAAAACAAAGATGGTGGACGTCCTAGGAATTATATAACTGCATCTATGTATCACCGATACACGATACGGGTACGGGTACGGCACGGCAATACAGCGTTTGTCCAAAAACAAGGATAAGCCGATGCGCCCAATTAAAATAATTGCATTTACATGCCCTCAGAGAGAGAATCTAAATGAATGAATCAATTTCAACAAGACGTACGAAGGAAAGAGAGGATCTAAATGAACAAGCAGGCAGGAACTGACAGGTCACCATAGCTAGAGCGCACCTATCTCTGAACCTTCAGCAGCTGCGCAAGACAATCTCCCAAGTCCCAGAGCTTCAGATCCAAATTGGTGGGTACTCGCTCACGGGGGCACGAGCACACCCAGTGGCGACATGGCTCCCAGCAAGGTGGTGGTGCTAGCTTCTGACAGCATGCGCTCCTAGTGAGGCGGCAGCACTACATCCTAGCAGCAAATGCACCGTGCAAGGTGGCAATCCTCGCTCCCTGTCCGTGGCGGCGTCAAGAAGCAAGAGATGGGAGGTGGAGATGAGACACCCGGTGTTCTGGGGTGAGGCTTGAGAATGGATGGGCTCATGCTGTTGGGCTTGCGGCTGTAAAATGAGGTACTACTATTTGGCTGGCACGTATGGGCACAGCGTATCTCGCCGTATCGCGAGCTAAACCAAACGATATATCTAGTTTTTCTGATACTTGGTGATATGTGTATCACGCCATATCGCCATACAGATACAGGTATGGCGCCTCCCTGGCGAATCAGTAATACACAGAACTGCATAACAATATAACTATAGTTGAAACAAAATTCAACAGTCAATAGGTCGTAAGTACAGAAGGATGATAAAGCAGCTTTGTACAAGGTAATAAGTAATGTTTGTGTGGCTTTCTGCTAACTTGTCATGAAACACACCAAACACCTTATACAACTACTCATTCTATATTATAGACTTCAAGTTAACTTAAATCTATCCAAAACAAATATTTAATCTTAGGATGCGATATATTCAGTTACTGTGAAATGCGAGCAATAAAAAGGTTTCTGGCAAAGGCATGAAACTAGAAATATTTTTATGCCACAAACACATCATACGTGTTATGCAACTATATATTATATTCCAGATTTCAGTTAAAACTTAAATCTATTCTGAACAAATATGTAATATCAGGATGCCATATATTCACCTACTGTGAAATATTGAGCAATAAAAAAGTGTATGGCACAGGCATGAAACTAGAAATCTATGCAATGCTGGTCAGGTAAATGACCGGAATAGATAACATTTCTCCAGGAAGAACAAAACAACAAAAAGAAAAAAAAAAGCTGATAAATATACCTGTTGACTTTAATATTGCCATCAAATATGCTATTTCCTGTGCTACAAGCAATGCATTTGTGGAGCTGTCGTGAAAAACCTCTAGGGTGATCAAGTATCAGTCTGCTGTGCAGATCATGTATCTGCTTATTCTGAGATGTTAAGTGAAGTGTTGACAGTTCTGTCTCTGTCTCAGGACCTAATTGCTCGATATGGAGATTGTGCCTGTTCAATTTTGCTCCAGTGCTGACCTCAACAAACTCATATTTACTAGTTGTATCCTGCAAAAAGAAAAAAGAAGTTTCAGAACAAATAAAATTGATTTTCCCTGTTCAACTAAGCTTCATTGATCAATGCTAACACCGACAATGACTATTATCACTAGAAAATTGGAGGCAACTGTCTTGAGTCATGAGGTAGATCAAACAATGGGACCCTGGAATGACAAATGTCCCCAGCTCAGAATCAATCTGAGTAACTCCAACAATCTCTTCCATAATTTGATCAGAGTTGCTTCTCTTATCATCACTATCCTATCCCATTTCAAGAGCATATAACACTCATTCATAACTGCAATCACAAGTATCTTACAACACTTATTTATCTAAAATCCAGACTCACCTGCTTCACAGACTGTCCATTTAGTATGTGCTGCAGCAAATGATTGATGTTGCACGTATGAATGAACCACTCTTGCGCCCTCGTCGTTGATAATCTCTGCCACTGGATTGGCCCAATAGCAACCACCTTCTTCTCCAGCCCCAAAGTGCTCCTCCACTATGGCCACCTCTGCTGCCTTCTCGGCCACGACCAGAACCCTTGGATTGGACATCAGCATACTCTCAGCACCGCTATTGGTATAGGCGAACATGATGTGGATTGGGTCGTCAGCCACCTTGACCCCCTCAGGCACGTGCACGACAACGACGTCCCTCGCCCCAACGGCGTTGAAGTCGTAGAAGAGGTCCTTGTGGGCGAATTCAGCGGAGGCGGCGAGCGCGGCGGCGGCGCGGTCCCGAGCGCGGCCAGGGGGAAGATCGGCGAGGGTGCTGACATGGGCACCAGAGGAGGATAGGAGGATTCCATCCGAGAAGAGGACGTGTGAAGAGAAAGGGGAGGACGGCAGCGCGAGGTCGGGCTCCCGGGAGGGGAGGGAGATGGGGAGGGAGCGGAGGTAGGAGATGTCGGTGAAGCGGAAGGCCTCGCTGGAGCGGCGGGTCGGCCAGGGCGTGGAGAGGAGGGAGAGCGCGGAGGCGGAGCGGAGGGGGTCGAGGAGCGGGGAGGTGGAGGTCACCGAGTCCTCGAGCTGCTCGGCGATGCGGAGGACGAGGTCGTCGGAGACGGTGGGCGCCGCGCGCGCCACGGAGGCGGATACCGGAGCGGAAGAGCGGCGGAAGCAAAGGAGAGGCGGCGGCGCACACCGGCGACGGCGAGGACATGGCGTCCGCGAAGCTTCTCCTCGTCTGCCCAGCGGCTGCGGTGCGGACTGCGGAGGGGCCCTCGACCCTAATCCGAGATCCTGACAGGTGGGACCAGGAATGAGAACTGACAGCCCAGCCCACTCAAGAAAAAATATGGACCGTGTTGGGCCGGCTCATGTGGGCCTAGCCCTGATCCTGTGGAGCTGCGCGTAGCCTTATCCGCTTTCGTTCCCGCAGCTGTCGTTGGCTTTGCCTTGTCCCGGCAAAGCAATGGCGCTCCGTCTCTCTGCTCCGTTCCTCACCTCGCGCTTTACGCCGTCGCAGGCGTCGGGCCCGCGCAGGCGCACCCGGGCCCGCTCTTTCTCTCCGTCCGCCGATGCGCGGGCCGCGTGCTTCAGGAGACCCTACACGTCTGTTCTAATTGTCCCCACGGGCGTCGGCGCGGTCGTCGGGGGCTTCGCCGGCGACGCCCTTCCGGTTGCGCGGGCCGTCACCGGCGTCGCCGACTGTGTCATATCCCACCCAAACGTAATGTCATGGAGCCCGTCATCAACATTATGCTGCTGTACTTATGTTGATGTTTCTCCATTTGAATTTGGGCCTTGCTTAGATTGTAAATTTTTGCAACCTGGACACTGTAGCACGTTTCGTTTGTATTTGACAAATTTTGTCCAATCATGGACTAACTAGGCTCAAAAGATCTGATTTACGCTAATTAGTTATTTTTTTACCTACATTTAATGCTCCATGTGCGTCCAAAAATTGATGTGATGGAGAGAGAGTGAAAAAACTTGGAATTTACGGATGCAATCTAAACAAGGCCTTTGCTCACTCGTAGATGTGGAATTTCAGGCCGTAGTTGCCGCTTGACAGGTACACTTTTTACGTGGAAGGGTATCGCTTCGACAAACCTCGCAGACGGAACCTGGGTGTTAGAATCGATGGCATGCCTCTCTGTAACCGTAGATTCGGGAAGATTTCTCGTCTTTCTCTGTTGAGGCGCATCGACAAGCGTGGACGCTGATGTCGCGGTGTAGTAGACGTCGTAGTGGCGAGGAGGTGAAGTCCAGTGGCCCGGTGTAGACCTGCAGGGGTGACGGCGGTGCGGTAGGACATCCCGTCGCTGGCAGCACTTCTTTAGGATCGGATTAGGGTTTTCTGTAGGTGGGATAGCGGCTCCAGTGAACCTCGTAGTCCGAGCCTTGATCCCCACCTTTCTTTTATGTGTGCTATGCGGCAGGGGCCCACCAACCGTATTAGGGTTGGGCTCCTCCGATCAGGGAGCAGAGACAAGGGCCCTAAGCCTATTGGTGGAGATCAACTAACATTCTCCCATTTGATCTCATTCCATCTTTCAATTTCATATCATTTACTTTTGTTTATTTCATTACAGATTAGCGCATAGAGTATGTCTCATCGTCACTGTCCATTGCCGATAGACTTAACAGCTACAACACACTACTCTATTCTGAAATAGATACTTATTTTTGGGTCTTCTTTTGTCTAGAAATTTTAGGCTTTTCCTTAAACCCATGCTAGCTACATGTTCTTTGAATACCATGTTCTCTGAACATGTTGGATGGTAAGCCTTTTGTAAGCGGATCTACGAGCATTCTTTCTGTACATATATGCTCAAGACTTATGACTTAATCCCGGACTTTATCTTTCACAACATAATACTCTATGTCAATGTGTTTGGCAGCACCACCTAACTTATGTTGTGAGCATACTGTACTGCCATATTATAATCGCAGTATAACTTAAGTGGTCTATAGATGTCGTCAACCACCTTCAAACCGGATATGAACTTCTTTAGTCAGTTCACCTATCCATTGCCTCTTAACACACTACAAACCGTCATACATTATGGACGATGTAGTGACAGTTTGCTTTGAGTTTTTTCATGAAATAGCTCCCCTTTACGAGATGATAGAAAATCCACGTCTGGATATGTATTCACTCTCGCATAATTAGAATCTGAATATCCCACTACGTGAAATGAATCAAATCTTCTATATGTCATCACGAGGCCTTTCGTTCCTTGCAAATAATAAAAGACTTTCTTTACTAATTTCAATTTTCTATTCTATAATTGCTCTGGAATCTGCCAAGTAAAACCCGGTAACAAATGCCAAGTCAGGACACGTACATACTTGAGCATGTTGCAAGCTTTCGACAGTTGAAGCATATGGAACCACTTTCACTTTATCAATTGAGCTCATATTGGTTACTGGGGCATTGAAAATCTCCATATCTGTCGTCCTTGACTATAGGAGAAGGTGAGGGACTACATTTGTGCATACTAAATTTCTTTAAGATCTTTTCCATGTATGCCTTTTGTGACAGTCCTTATATCATTTTTCTTCTATCTCGGTGAATCTCGATCCCTAGAACGAACGAGGCTTCACCAAGATCTTTCATATCAAATTTCTTTGTCTCCAGTAGTAGACTGACATCACTACTAGCAAGTAAGATATCATCTATATACAGGACAAAGAAGATAAACTTCTCATTCTTAAACTTTGTATTGACACAATTGTCCTCTACATTCTCTTTACTTTGTATAGACATAATTGTCCTCTACATTCTCTTTAAAACCCAAAAAAATTTATTGTCTGATCAAACTTCAAGTACAACTGTCTTAAAACTTGTTTTAATCCATAAATGGATTTCTTTAGGCGACATCACATTCGTTCTTTTCCTTCCATGACAAAACCTTTCGGTTGTGCCATGTAAACATTTTCCTCCAAGTCTCCGTTGAGAAATGTCGTCTTTACATCCATTTGATGTAATTCTCAATCGTAATGTGCCACTAATGCCATTATGATTCTGAAGGAAACTTTACATTAGACTGGAGAAAATGTCTCATTGTAATCAATCCCTTCTCTTTGCATATAACCTTTTGCCACAAGTCGCGCTTTATATTTCTCTATATTCCCTTAAGAGTCAAGTTTTGTTCTGTAGACCCATTTACAGCCTACTATTTTGGCTCCTTTAGGAATTATTTTCAAGTCCCAAATTTTATTGGCATTCATTGATTTCATTTCATCTTTCATGGTCTCAAGCCACTTTGATGAATGATCACTTCTCATGGCTTCTTCAAATGAGATGGGATCATCCTCCATTTGAAATTCTTCAGTGTTGTACACTTCATAATCAGCAGGAGTAGCTGATTTTCTAACTCTTTTAGACCTTTTAGGGGCCTCCACTTTTAGCACATCTTCTGTTTGAGGCTGTTGTTGCTCCCCCTCTTGTGTGGCAATAGGTTCTATAGAATCCTGAAGAATAGGTTCCTCGTCGTCATTCATTGTTGCCACAGGTGAGAATAACAACAGGTGCTGACACCATAGTTTCTTGCACTGTCGGTGCAGCGACAACATATAGTGAAAAAATTGGCTCATGAATCATTAGAGTGGGCGCATACACCCGCTTCACTTCAAGGTCAATTTCTCGAGCTACCATGCCCCCCTCATCTTTTCATCCTCTAGGAAAACAGCGTGTATCGTTTTCATAAACTTTGTATGTCACTCTGGACAGTAGAAACGAAAACCTTTTGATTTTTCTTTGTAACCAATGAAATGGCAACTTACTATTTTGGGATCTAATTTTTCAATGTTTAGGTTAAATACTTTAGCTTCAGCAGGGCTCCCCCACACACTCAAGTGTTTAGTGAGGGTACTCTTTCTGTCCACAACTCATACGGTGTTTTGGGCACCGACTTTCTTGATACTTTATTGAGAATATGAATGACCGTTTTCAACGCCTCTATCCACAGACTTAACTGTAAGGTGGAGTAACTTATTATACTGCCCACCATATCCATCAGGGTGCGATTGATTCTTTTAGCTACTCTATTCTGCTGAGGTTCACCTGGTGTAGAATGCTGGGCTACTATGCCATTCTTTTAGGGTATGCCGACCGTAGTACTCTCCCACGATCAGACCTGACTATCTTAATCTTTAATATCTTAAATTTATCCAATACATCTTTTCTTTCTTTGATTGGATAAATATAGCCATAATGGGAGTAATCATCTGTGAATGTTATGAACGGATCATAACCATCCACACTCTTTACAGGAAAGTTGACCACAGATGTCTGTGTGAATAATCTGTAAAATTCCTACGCTTCGTTTGCCATCTTTCTTAATCTTCTTTACATACTTTCCTTTTATGCATTCCCTACATTGTTCTTAATCTGAGAGCTCTAATGGAGATAGAATATCATTCTTAACTTGTCTTTCTATTCTTCCCCACGAAATATGGCCTAAACGACAGTGCCATAATTTCGACAACGCATCGTAAGCTCTCTTATGCCATAATTTCTAAAGTAACACTCTGTCACTAGCTGCTTTATCAGCTGGGTAGCATATGTTTTTGAAGAGCCAGTGAACTGACTTTTTATTCTATCGAGTTACTCGGTGACTGTGTCACACTCTGGGATTGAGCCCACAATTGCAGGTTTAATCATGTTCTTTATCACAGCCAAAACATTTCTTGTTGACAGTGACCCACTTTCTATGCATAAAAGTCATAGGACTATCTTTTGGGATTCAAAATCCCTCTCTTTAGTTGCCCAAGTGACATCATTCTCTTTTGTCTCTCTCACTGGTGCCACAAACTCAGTGGAACACGGTGAGGTGACTACCCAGTCCACCTTAGACAAGATGAAAACTAGGTCAAAACTTTTCTTATCATAAAAATAACACCATTTGCATGCCTTGATTCTAACGTTGGTCAAAATCAAAACATACAACTATTTTTATACACTAATTCTACATCATTGTTGGGCAGAAATAGAATTAATGCATAAACCATTAACTTTCACAATTGTTCTTACACATTAATTCTACATCACCGTTGGACAGAAATAGAATTAATGCATAAATCATTAACTTTTACAACTGTTCTCATACACTAATTCTACATCACCGTTGGACAGAAGTAGAATTAATGCATAAATCATTAAAATTTACAACTCTTCTTATACACTAATTCTACATCACCGTTGGATAGAAGTAGAATTAATGTATAAATCATTAAAATTATGATATTGTTATTAACAACGTTGGTCAAAAAATAACAACATCATAATCATGTTAAATCTCTCTTTCTCCAATTAAATACCACATTGGTTCAAAATAACTAGAGTATAAACAACTTTTCTTTAGCAGTGGAAAAACTCTCTTTTTCTTGAATTTTACCCACATGGAAAATTGCTTTTTCTATTTCCTTTAATCCATTAATCAATTTGCAGGAAATAAACCTTTACTGGAAAACCTTTCTTTTTCTCCAGTTAAATATCACGTCGGTTCAAAATCACTGGAGAATATACTTTTTCTTTAGCAGCGGAAAACGTATACTCAATTCCTTGAATTTTACCCACAGGGAAAAATTACTTTTCTATTTTTCTTTTGAGCCAATTTGCATTTTCAATTTTCCAAGAAAAAGAAAAAAAACGAAACTGGACTCTTGTTCTTCCTGTGTCGACCCAAACCGGTCAAAACCGGCCCGACCCATCTGTCCGCGCGCGCACAGGCCGCACCCAGGCCACAACCTGGGCCTGGGGCGGCAAAGTGCCGCGGCGCGCTCGCGCCCGCCTGGGCCGGCGACGGCCTGATCAATCTCGGCCGTCCGCGCAGATCCGACAGCCGAGCGTCGATTTCGGGTGGTATAAAAACCCGCCAACGCCGGAAACCCTAGTTCATTTTCCCCTTCCCACTCTCTATCTCTTCGCTCTCTCAGCCGCAGCGGCTCCCCTCTTCACTTCTCCTCAGTGCAAGGACAGGAGCCACCGAGAGCGAGACGGCGAGCGAGCGGACAGTGGAGCGAGGCAGCCATGGCGCCGTCGTCGGCCCCTTCGCCAGCGCGCGTGCTCCCCGACGGGTGAGCACGCCGCCGTCGAGCGGCCTGGCCGTGGCGCCCCCTTGGCCGAGCCCGGCGAACAGCCCGCCCCCGGCTCGGCCCTTCTTCTCCCGTGTCGGCGAAGGGCCATCCCGACGCACGACGAGGTTTGTCCCATCCCCTTTCCCTTTCTCTTTCTCCGATTTGGATTGATCTCTGTTTTCCGAACCGGAGGTGGGGATTAGGGTTAGGGTTTCTTTGATTCCTTTTCTTTCTTTTGATTCGACCGATTCGGTTTTCCTCTTTGGAGTTCATCCAAATCGGGATCTAGGGTTAGGGTTCATGTGCCGACCCCTGTTCTTTTTCTCTTCTTTGGATTTTTCTTTTCTTTGATTTCTTTTCTTTTCGGATTTGATTCCGATTGGGATGGGGATGAAATTGGGGTTAGGTCTTAGGGTTCGGCCAAATCCGGACCCACTCTTCTTCTTCTCCGAGCTTTCTGCGCGGGTTAGGGTTAGGGTTCTTGAGATCCTTTTCCCCTTTCTCTTCTCTGATCCGAACATGGATCTTTTCTGTTCTTGCCGTGCGCTCGGTGAGAACGGAGGTGCGACATCTCTTCCCCGTGCGGTGGCGGTGGTGACCGAGGTTCCAGTGACGTCCGTCACCCTCGGTCCCTTTTCGCTTTGCTTTTACCCGGTTAGGGTTAGGGTTACACAGAGGCAACATGGCTCTGGTACCATTGTTAGAATCGATGGTGTACCTCTCTATAACCATAGATCCGGGAAGGTTCCTCGCCTTTCTCTGTTGAGGCACATCGGCAAGCGTGGACGCCGACGCCGCGGTGTAGTAGACGTCGTAGTGGCGAGGAGGTGAAGTCCAGTGGCCCGGTGTAGACCTGCAGGGGCGACGGCGGTGCGGTAGGACATCCCGTCGCTGACAGCACTTCTTTAGGATCGGATTAGGGTTTTCTGTAGGTGGGATGGAGGCTCCAGTGAACCTCGTAGTCCGAGCCTTGATCCCCACCTTCTTTTTATGTGTGCTGTGCGACAGGGCCCACCAACCGTATTAGGGTTGGGCTCCCCCGATCAGGGAGCAGAGACAAGGGCCCAATAGACCGTTTGGCCTATTGGTGGAGATCAACTAACATTGGGCACTCCAACCTGTTCACCAGAACAAGGTTAGTGTTGCATTGACCCTCGCTGTGGGGATTACTCCCACCAACATCCAGATTGGCTATAGTGCTGCTATACACTATTGTTAGTTTGTTACCGAAAGAGATAGCCAATGACACATTGTAACTGATCACACCTAGGTAGGCTTGGTGTTGGATTCTGGAATCGAGGAAGACCTCCGGCTGCGCCACTTGCAGGTTGCAGATGCCACTAGGGCTTCTCTTGGCTTGCCTGTAGTGGAGTACATTGTCACAGATGCTCCTCTGGAGGTGCACACTCTGTTCTGATACTAGTACTGGCAGTTGTTATTGTAAGCATAATTAACTGCTTGCATAATCTTGATGTTTACTTGGGGCATGCCCATTTTTGGTGTAGATCAAGACATGGTTTGATCCCAGGTGTGGGAAGTCGACAGGGAGTGTTGGTAACTCTGATTCTCTTCTGAGAGCAGTTGACGCACTAGTGAATCATTCAGATGTGAATGCTGTGGCGGTAGTTGCACGCTTTCCAGATGATGACCCAAAAGATTCAGATTGTTACCGGGAAGGAAAGGTAAACTCTTGTCTGCTCAAGTAGTTCGTTTTATTTTTATTTGTATGATGTCTTGTACCATTGACATTTGCATCAAATCATTTTTATAGAGAATCGAGTCTAGACGTTCAATTTTAGAAGTATGATAGCTACACGGATTCTGGTCTAAAGTTTAGTGAATAGAGAGCTACTGCTATCATTCCCCTAGAACATGGAGGTCATTGCCCCTTTATGGCACTGGATCTGTATATTGATGGGTCTGAGTTCTATTGAGTTGATGACAATTAACAGTACGCTGAGGTTATCATTTGTTGGCAAGTGTATCTTTCATTTTTCTTCATTTCCTAGGTAGTGAATGTTTTTGTATTTTTCATCATTCTAGTGCAAGCGGTAGAGTCTTACCGCCTGTGACCGGAAGATCCCGGATTCGAGTCGCGGTCTCCTCGCATTGCACAGGCGAGGGTAAGGCTTGCCACTGACACCCTTCCCCAGACCCCGCACAGAGCGGGAGCTCTTTGCACTGGGTACGCCATTTATGTTCTTGACTGATATTTCATTGCAGGGTGTTGATCTATTGGCAGGAGTTGAAGCAATTATCAGTCATCTAATTGTGAAAGAATTCAAAATCCCTTCTGCACATGCTCCTGCAGTGTTACCCCCACCACTCAGCCCAATAGTATGCCCTAGATCTGCTGCTGAAGAGGTATATGGCCATGTGTACTCGTGCATAACTTAGTTAAGTAATTATCAATTTACTAGTGACATGTTTCACAATCACACTACCATTACAAGGCTTATATTAAACTAGTGTTATGTGTTCAGTTTTTAGTTACAACGTTTTCAGCCACCTTTTTGCCTCTTTGGTCATATATATAGATATAAATCCTGTCCTATGTCAAACTTAGTACTTTTTCCTTTTCTTTTTAACCTGATTGCTTATTACTTCTATATGTTGTTTGTTTATTCATGTGTTCATCAAATAGATTGGATATACATTTCTGCCTTGTGTGCTTGCTGGGTTAAGCAATGCTCCACAGTATGTCATGAGGAAAGGAACCTTGGACAATGGTTGCATAGTGGCTGGTGATGTTGACAGTGTTATTCTTCCCAAAGACTCTTGTGGAGGAGATGGTACACTTGCTTTTGCTCGAGCTGCAAGAAAGAACAAGGTATAATGTCCATATTAATTAGTGATGAAAGATGAAGTATGTATCCACTTTGACTGCACAGTGTGTTAGATAAGTTCCTCAATGCAAGTTATGTTAGCATCATGATTGGAGCTAATTGTAAAAAGTGTTAGTCATAATTAACTAGGTCGGCTAAATTACTCATTTCTTCTTCTTCTTTTTTGCAGCCCTTAATCATTACCGTACAGGAAAATGAGACAGTGCTTGATGATACTCCAGACAGGTTCGGCATAGAAGCGGTACACAACATACGTCCATAATGTTCTGTCGCATTCTCTTTGACTCTTTCTGATAAGCTCATAGATCTAAGCAATTATTGGTAACTTTGAATGCTTTCTCAGCTGAATGTCCGGAACTACTGGGAAGCGATTGGAGTCATTGCTGCTCACAAGGCAGGTGTCAATCCAAATGCTCTTAGAAGACAAGGGATTGATCATCTTAAGAGCTCTAGACAATTATACTCTGCTCACTCTTCAAGTCCTAAGCCTTCTGCCCGTCCTCCAGTGCACGATAAAGTACATATACAGCAGCTAGTTAGACAAATTTAGTACTAAAAAGAGCACCGGCAGTAGTAGAAATCACTTTAGATAGGTCAGGATTAGGAACTGCCAAAATTTTGAAGCCCAGGTACATATTTTTCCAGACCGTGCTGCAGTGGATCCTACACATAGCATCTACACCGAATTTTGTTGTGTCATCCAGTCTGGACTTGGCTGGCGGCATGCATGAATCTTTCTCCACTGCCTTACATTTCTCCAATCTCCAGTCGGTTTGTCAATCATTTACATCATTATTTCGCCAAGGAAAACACATCGCTTGTAATCATTTTTCTCCGACAATATTTTAGTAAGTTGGGTAGAAGCAGCAGTACTGTTTTGTTTCCCGCTGAACATGAAAGTTTATGCTGAAATGCCAAGCTGTTATGACCTGGTTTATCACATGAATGGTCTCAGCTCATTTGGCTGCTATGCTGTTGTCCGACTGCGCATTTGCATCTACTTTAGACATATTGTCAATCAGAATTGCATTGGGATGGCCTTGCTTATACTTCCTCTGTTCCAAATTATAAGTAATTTTAGATCTGTCCTTACTGGCTCCTGTGTCAAACAACGCTAACTTATCTACAACATAAAACAAGATTGATTAGATACAATATGAAATATATTCGATAGTGCATTTACTTGATATTGTATATGTTTATATATTTTCTGTAAACTTGATCAAAGTTTAGACAAGTTCGATTTAGGACAAAACTTAAACAATTTAATTTCAAAAATAGGAGCATGAGCAAAGGAATTGTTGGTTCAATTTGTTTGTCTCAAACACTATGATTCCAATGCTATTAATACCTCTAGTTCTTTTCTCCTCACCTGCTGCCCCGTCGCCGGGCTATCGATAGAACGATGTAGTGGAGCGGCGCAACCAGACCATGTTGGGCATGGCGCGGAGCATGCTCAAGGCAATGCGCATGCCCGACTGGTATTCAGGGGAGGCGGTCACGGTAGTCGTCTTCATCTTTAACCGTGCGCCGACAAGGAGCGTCGAGGGGATGGTATGGTTACAAGCCACCCATGTACTTCTTTTGCATGTTTGGCTGTGTTGTGCATGTCAAGATCACCGACGGGTATCAGCAGGAGCTCAATGATTACAATACACCGATGGTGTTCATCGGGTACGAGTCGAGCTCCATGGCATGCAGGTTCTACAACCCGAACACCAAGCGCATCCACATCTCGTGCGACGTGGAGTCCGAAAGAGGCAAGAGATCATGAGGTTGGAGCAAGCCGGAGGTGAGCCGCCCAAGCTCCGTAGGCTCGGAGCCATTCCATGCCGAGTTCATGACAGTGTCGACTGATCATGAGGCATCGGTCACACCGTAGGGAGGCAACACAACGCCACGCGCGCGCAGCACGCCCCATGAGCTGATCGCGCCATCCCATGACCCAGAGCACGCCACACGCCATGACCACTAGAACTCAACAACACGAGCTGAGAAAGAAAAGGGGAGCCGCTGCATGAACATTTGCATGTGTCTGTCTTAAAAAAAAACACCCTCAATTTCGGCTAAGACTGAGCCCAAACTTATTGACTAAAGCCGAAGCAGATGATCACGAGCCAACCGAGAGAGAATTATCTAAGAAAAATACAGGTCTTGCTTACTTTTGCTACTGTGTCCAGATGGTTTCCAAAACCAAAACTTATCTGTTGAATCATTTGCCATTCAACCACTCAATCCACGGCCCCTACCTTGTTCCTTCCGTGACAAGTGGAACAGTGAGAGATTGTGTACAAGGTGCCAAAGGCCACCATGGATTCAGGAACCGACCGGACCCCATAACTACAGAGCACGCAAGCACAATCAGAAGCAGCACGGGCGAGATACGCCAGCCAGGTAGAACAGTGAGCAACACTGCGGTGGAACAGTATGTGTCTACGAGGCCTAGCGACGACTGCACCACACGACTATAAATATCCATGCAACCCGAGGCACGGCGGTCCGACACGAAGCACGCAATTTTGGCCCGGACCAAGCACGGCACGACCCGATGGTCAGCGGGCCCGGGATGGCCCGCCCGAGGGAGCAGGCCGTGCCTAGGCCGCTGCTCAGGCCCGTGGCCTGGCACGGCACGGCCCCTGCCTTCGACGGTCGGCCCGGCATCCCCCCTCGGCCTCCTCACTCCTCCTCCCCTCCCCAAGGCCCAACACGGCCCAGCGTGGCCTACCATCCCCGCCTCCCTCGGTCACTGCCCTCCCTCCCCGACTCTCTGCGCCGCATCGCGACTTCGCGAGTCGCACGTCCCTCCCTCCCCACGCTCCACTCGCGAGAGGTGCTTGCCGCTGGCTCCCCAGTCCCCACTCACTGGCCGCTCCCACTCCGAGGTCCGAGCTTGGGCAAGCACAGCGCTGTGCCGCTGCCTCCTTCCTCGATCCCGCCTACACCAGATTTGTAACGCATGTCATCCTCCTCACCATCCCTCGCCTCCGTGGCCACGCTGGGTCTTCTCCGCCATGGATCTGGCCACGCTGGATCTTCTCCGCCTACGCAACTCCTGCCCCCGAGATCCAGAGCTTCGCTGCTCCCAGCCTCGGCGCCCACCTCCTCCTCGCCTCCCCACGCGGCCGCGGCGCACACGTCAGCCTCGAAGCACGCCGGTAGCCGCCTCCTCCCCCAAGGCCCCCGCGCCGTGGCTGGCCTCGAGCCCCCGCCGCTCCTCCACGACCCTTGCGTCCCGGCGACCCGGCCTACCCTCTCCTCCCTCCTCTCTCTCTGTGTCGGCACTCAGTGGGCCTTGGGCTAGCATGGCCTGTGAAAATGGCTGTGCTTCTCGGGCCGGGCCGGCACAGAAATTGGCCCATAGGGCCGTGCCTGGGCCGAAGGCTAGGCCCGTGGCCCTGTGAGGCACGGCGTGCCATGCCGGCCCGTTGGCTATCGGGCCGTGCTGGCACGGGCCCGTGCCGTGCCGGGCCGGGCTGCCCGTTGGCCATCCATACACACGACCAACCATTTGCTGATCTCTTCAGATCATGCATGATGGGCTGGCTGATGGCATGATGCTCCCCCCCTAGCTAGTAACTGGAATCTAGTGACGGTGCTGCTCCAGATGCCCCCTACTACTCCTCGTCCTGGACCGCTACCGCTTGGTGCCCTAGCTACTAGCTTGCCGAGCTTGTCTTCATGGGCAATTCAGGATGCTGCTAACATAACAAGATGATGGATGTAGTTGTACCAGCCTACCAGGTGTCACTCTAACTGGGCAACACTGACTGACATATCAGTTACCTGAATTTACACTACACCAGCCACCAGTGAGACGACATTCTCCCTGACTGCAAAATGTTGCTACTGACATCGATGCAAAGGCCAAATCATTTTGCATGCATTACAGTTGCAGCGCACAATAATTCGCAGTCCATTGATCTGGTCCAGCGTTGCAGAAAAGCGAAGGAAGGCACGTATGGATGAATAATTGAGCGTGTCCACGAGGCAGCAACTATGATGTGTTGCGCATTTTCACGACACGTCACATTCAGAGAAAGATGAAGAGCCTCCGTTACACAAGTAGCAGCTCCGATCCATTGATTTCATCAAAATGAATCCTTGCTGAGTTCTCGATCTCATTCTCACCCGTATAGGCCACGATGAACTAGCAGTAGTTTGCGGTGCGCCTTTTCGATATTCCAGTTGAGTGCTCCTCTCGCATTGTATTGCGTCGCTATCCTTTTCGCCGATGGGAGAAGGAATTGAAGGGAAATGGGTAGAGCTTCCTTTCTGGATCTTCTTGCATGCTGCCATGGCTGTATGTCTGACAAGTACCATGATTTGGAGGTCCTGCTGGTCCCAATGTTCATGAGAGAGATTGAGCCGAAACATGGGGGGCTCCCATTCCCATCCCCCCGTGTTTTTGCGCTGGTTCCATCCGTCGAGTTTGAGAGATAGTGACCAGAGAGGCCCCTCCCATCATATTCTGCTCCCAACTACAGTAGTGCTTCACTCGGAATCCCTGTCGACGTCTCGCCATACAGCGTAAACAGTGGTATACTGGTATATATGAAAGCAATCTGAGTATCAGACACGGCAATGCTCTCTCTCTTTTTCAGCTCAAAAGAACTCTTGCGTACATCGAAGCCAACTGAGCTCCGTACATCTGGAAAGCCAGCAACAAAGTTTGTTTTGAAGGGAAACCTCTAATAAATCCTATATCAATCATATGCCATGCATGTGCCCTCATGAATTACTGGGCAGGTCTATTCATGGAGATCAACAAAGAAGCACTTGAAGCTGGAGCAAACACAATGCTGAAGATCGCAGCTTCTCTACTGGGCAAGAAGCTGGGCAAGGATGGACAACTGCTGTCGAAGGATGGTGGTGATGACAACAAGCAGGGATGACGGGTCCTTCTGCTCTGATCTTTGGGAACTAAGTATTCACAATGTCTTTCTGAAGGTGGCTCAAGTAGTTAACCTTGCGTTAGAGCTGGATTTAGCTTTGATGTCCTGCCAAGATGGCATAGTTTTCGTTTCCTATCAATCATCTAGACCAAAACTGTCTGTAATAGGATACAGTAGTAAGTCTGCCTTTTGCTTATTTTCTTTCTTACTCTGATATTTCTCAAAAATGCTGTATTTCCGTTAGTGATAATGGAAATGGGGTTATCTCCGGTTAAAAAAAAACTGAGCTCCGTACGGTGCCGAAGCCGAACCCATCACATCCATCGCCGTTGCGTACTTCAAGCAGTCTGATGGGGTTGCGAAAAAGATTTCGATCGATCGAATTCTTGATCCTACAGCACGATTACTGACTGGTGGCTACACGCCTGCACCGTAAAGCAAGCCGGTCCGGAGGACTGGAAGTTTCACGTCTGGTGGAAGGAGGACTGGACGAGAAGACGGCAAAGGAACCTGCCATTCGCGTAGCGTAGGTAGGTGACCGACCAAGGGACCGGGCGCGAGTGAGATCGAATCAACCTCGCGAATTCGGGTGCGAAATTTGTACCCCACGGACCACGGTCCCAACCTGTCCGGGACCGGTCTCTCGGCTCGATCGGCAGCTCTATTCTATTTATGGCCGTTTCCCTCCCAAGTCCCAACTCCTCCGTGCCGGCCTCTGATCTCTCACTGATCTCCCACTGACATTCCTGACACCGCCAATGGAAGACGAGGAAGCCCCGGAGCTGATCAGCCCCAGGATCTCCTTCTCACACGACCTAGTCGCCACACCACCACCGCCTGCTGCAGCCCTCGCCGGGCGGCGGTCGGACGCGTCGCTGCTCGAGTCACGCTTACGCTTCCCGGCGGAGCCGGAGTTCGACTTCGCCAACGCCGTCGTCGCGGCCGCCGCCGACGACGTCGCCCCGGCCGACCGCCTCTTCGCCGGCGGCAAGCTGCTGCCAATGCCGCCGCTGCCGCCGCCCGCTCCGAAGCCCACCACCCCGTGCAAGCCACAGGCTTGCCGTGTCAAGGCGAAGCAGCAGGCGTGCCAGCAGCAGATCAGGCGGCCGGGTTCGTCGTGGGCGTCCCCGTTCTCACGCAGCAGCAGCGTCAACTCCGGCACGACGACGACGACGGGCGCGCCGCGGTCCGCGGGGAAGTTCGGCTGTCCGCCGTTCCCGCTGATGCGCAGCTGGTCAGTCGGCTCCGCAGCGGCGTCCGTGGCGCGGGATGGTGCCGCTGCCGCCTTGGGTGGTGACGCCGTCGTCTCGGACGCCGCCGGCCACCGGCCCCATCATCATCAGTACTACAAGAAGTTTGGCGGCGCAGGGGCAGCTACTGGTAGTTCAAGAGCTTACTACTACGGAGGTAGCAGAAAAGGTAGCAGCGGTAGTGGTAGCCATGGTGGTGTTAGGGTTCGTCCGGTGCTTAACGTGTCGTTCATCGGCACGAGTGTGTCCAACGTGCTCAGCTACTTGCTTTGTGACTGTAGCCACAGCAGGACCAAGAAGAGTAGGGAGTTCTAGAGTTAATTAACTGGCCTGGCCTGGCGCCCAGCTAATATGGTGAACAATTTCCAATGAAACTCATAAACAAAGAGCTTGTGAATTAACGTACGCACGCATTCCAAATGTGCATGGCTACAAGTTACAGCCATGCTTGCATATATATGAAATTATAAGAAAACTTGCTGCTCAGCTCGGGCTAGCTTGAGCAGGCTTGTGCCCTGGTTGTTCCTGAGCTGTGGACGCAAGCAGGCGCAAGGAACTTAGGTTGTCTTCTACGTAGTCGCCTAGCTTCCTTTGTATTATTCTAGGGAGAGCCAATACTAAGTTGTAAAACAATTTCGCCCCCTAGAGCGTCTCAAGGACGTGCTGTAAACAAACAATTCTCTCTTAATAATACAAAAACGCGTAAATCTTTTGTGTGATCGAGAAAAAAAATTATGATCAAATTAAATTGAGAGAATGGGTGGTGCACGACAGGGAAAGGTGGCAATGATAGAACAATGGCCTTTTTTCCTTAAAAGATCCCTTTTGTTTGCTTGGCATGGGATCGGATGGAGGCGCTTTTTGGTTGTGTTGTTGTTGATTACGGGTTGCTTGGCGGGGCATGCATGGAGTGTGATCAAAGTATGCCCATGTGCTTGTGGGGAATGCTTGTTCGAGGGAGCCTCATCAAGGGTGGCGTGCAGGCCTGCAGTTGCAGCGGGAGAGTCCCGGCCGTCGGCACCGTGCTCGCAATCTCGCATCTGTCATGTACTATTTCAGTACTTGTAATACTCCTAGGCCTTGTTTAGTTACCCTCAAAATTCTAAGTTTTTTCACTCTCTCTCCATCACATCAATTTTTAGCCGTTTGCATGGAGCATTAAATGTAGGTAAAAAAATAACTAATTGCACAGTTTAGTTAGAAATCACGAGATGAATCTTTTGAGCTTAGTTGGTCCACGATTGGACAATATTTACCAAATAAGATGAAAATGCTACTATCCATCGGGTTGAAATTTCTTTCAATCCAAACAAGGCCCTACCACGGAATGCAAGTTCAGCTTGCTAGTTGCAGTAGTGCTAGTGGTTTCAGTTACATATCATCTGGGTACTTTTATTAGCGGTTTCTCTCGCCGCCGCCGTGGCCCGTGACAAGCTAGTAAATGACGGATACCGGGTTCGCCCTAGATTGTCTACGCGGTGAATCATATATAATGGGTACTGGGATACTAAGGTCTAATAAAAAATATTAAAAATAGTTAAAAATTTGAAGCATATACTAATACTAATATCATGTTTTTCTAAAAAAAGAATTTTTTAAATAAATTATTATATTCAATGACATTAAAACCCAAAAACACACAAATGAATAAAATATAAAGAAAATAGGTGGACACATATTGGCCTTGTTCGGCTGATCCCAAACTCGGCTTGATCCGCTTCTTTTTTTATCCGAAACAGTGTTTTTCTCTCACAGATTCAGCCGTAAACAGTACCTTTCAACCGCTACCGTGCTTTTTGGGGTCAGCCGAACGCCCCAATTATCTTAAGTTCTCGTAATAATTGAAAAAGATATCATTAACCATTCCATCCTACTTTATCATGGTCCAAATCACTATCTTAAAATTTTAATAACACTGAACAACGAATAACAGCCCAACAATAACAATATATAGTGAATGCGCGCTAAGTGCAACAGCTGCCCCTAAGTTCCAACAGGCTACCTTATAGCCTAGCGGTAGGGGCCGCTACGCTATAGTGGTTACTACTGTGCACGCTACCAATACTATCTAGTACTATACACGACGTGGTGAAAACTTGGCAAAATGCAACCTAGGTCATGTTCGCTTCTCTTATAATTCGTATTTTTTAGCTTTTTTTTAGTCGGAACAGTATTTTTCTCTCACAACAAATTAGGCGGAGCAGTGTTCGGTTTATTTTTTCAGCGAAACGAACGGGGCCATAGAGAGATCAATGAGCCATGTGTTCGACGTGTAGTAATCGTCGATCACTATAGCACCCGTGGGCTGCTCCACGAGGGCCATGGCTGATACGCGTGTGGTTGGACGAGCCTAAGACGAAATGTATACCCAAAATAAAAATACCTGACGACTTTTATACTCAATAATAAGGAGATGGATATGGGGAGATTTCGATGTCCATAGGTATGTTTTTCAAGTACGGTGAAATCTTTTGCTTTATTGTGAATGTTATTAGCAGAAAAGAATTAACTAATTTACAAAGAAAATCTGGCCCAAAACCATACAACCAATAGTATAAGAGGAATGCTATATGTCACGCGTGTGTTTCTGTCATCGGCAGCGCACGAATTTTGTGGCCGCTCGATCAAGAAGCGACGGCTGGTCGCTCGCACTTGCCATGTGACGCTGTTTTAATGGGCCCACCTGAACGGTACTGTTTTGAATCGGGAGTCGCGCTTTTCCCCATTTCCGCATCACGTTTCTCCTCCGGCAGCTCTCCTGGTCGGAGAAGGCGATTCGAGTGGCGACGTCGCTGCTCCGCCCCTCCCCGTCTTTGCCCGTCGTTTCGCCCTCACCAATCGGTTGGTCGCTCGTCGTCTACCATTGCTAGAGCTCTGGAGGTACCTGGTTTGGTGCTTGCTCCCCTTGTTTCTACGCTTGTTTGTGATTTTGGTGGGGGATTTTTGCAAGAGGGCTGCGGGGATCGATGGGGGCAGGAGATCGGAGGACCAACACAGACGACGACGCCGCGGCACCCACGTCCGTGTTGGCGACGTCTGTGCGGGCCATGGGTGCCGTCTCTTCTTCGCGTCCACGGGAGAGGTTGAGCGAACGGGTGCCAGTGCCAGCGGTGTTGAGACCGGCGGCGCTGCTGCTACGCTCGGAGCTAGCACGGTGGTTTTTGGCATGGGATTTTTGGGTGGGGGATTTTGGATGTAGACAGGGGCTTTGCGTTGGATTTGGGGGATTTTGGTTTGTGGCTGTGGATTTGGTTGCAGCTCCCTCTACTCCCTCTGCCCTCTGAGACTGACTCTGGATTTGGTTTGTGGCTGTGGATATGCATGTTCTGCTAGATTAACCTCTTGCGCTCCCTCTGCTCTCTGATTGGGAATCCTGTACTATGATGCAGCCTGCAGCCGACCATTTTCTTCCTCCTTGGGCTTTATTAGGTTGTGCTAACCACATAGATCTGGCAGCATAATGCAGGACTGCAAAGCACTCACTTATCAGCTTTGCTCCCTCTTTTTCTTTTTCAATAGTGGTGATGGTGATGGTGTAGTCTGAACATTAGAGTTCAGTCAATATTGTTTCTTCATCAAACAAGCAAACTGCATGGTGTGTCAGCTCTCTAGCTTTATTATCTCGAGTAGTACTCACTAGTACTAGTAGTAGTGATTTATAATTTACTCACTCTGTACAATTCTAAAGTTGAGGTCTAGGTCACTGGTATGGCCAACCCATAGCCATTGCCACTGACATAATTCTGTGTGCACATAATTGCTAGATTTGTTCTTACTGATTCTTAGTGCTTGTTTCCTTGTATGAACAATTTATCACACACTTTTTTTATAGCAATTCCTCCTAGTTGCTTGTTTGTTATTTATAGACCCATGATCGAGGAATCAAGCTCTGCTCAGCTTAGCAACACAATTGCCTCAACTTTTCTTAGCTTCGCAATTACAACTCCCTATGGCCAGCTCAATAAGCTTTGTGCAATTCCAAGGTGCTCAACTTAAATGGATTTGCACCTCCACTAGGGATAGTTACCATTATTCGAGGCCAATTCAATATACTGTATAATACTTAGGTTAACAATTGCATGTTCTGTTTTGTTGAAACTAGTACCCAAATGACAAGTCCTTTTATCCTTTATCAAGTTGTTTGAGACATGTACTTTGGTTGCTAATTGTTACTTTATGAACTCATATTTAGTCAGTAAACTAACTGTTTCACATGTTTTGCCGCACAGCTATATTCCAACACACCTTCTGATTTTGACTTCAAACTTGAAAGGTAAACTAGTCGAAAGCCAATTTTTGTTCCTTTTTAATATTATCATTTTAATTTTTCCATGTTTCTGTAGGTTCCTTTTCTTTCACGTTATTGTCCAATTGTTATGTATAGAGATCAGTTACTTCTCAGTACTCTGTCCATGCTGATAAATTTGTGCCATTTTTTTGTGATGTTGACACATTACAGGAACAGCTGAGGGAGAAGGTCTCCTCTGCTATACTCATGTTAGGTCATCGCCATGAGCTTTGTCATCTCCTTATCTAGTGATTCTTTGTATGTTGCTGCATTGTTCATTTTGCCATTAGCAAAGTGCGATGAATATTTTAAAAATGCACAGTTACAAGAAATGCACTCTCTCTGTGTGTATTTCCTTGTCGGTTGTTGTATTGGGATTGGTCGACCAAGTGACTCGACTGAATCAAGTAAAGTCGTCACCAGTTCGAGTTTGTCTCTGTAACGAAACAAATGGTGGTTGACTTGACTGAATAATACAGTATGGGATAGTATGAGCCTCTCTTTCTAGTTGTAAGCCTATTTCTGATGCTCACTTGTTTGTTGTTTTGCAGCTCGTATCATTTTCTTGATTGTGCATCAGTTCTGCTTAGACATGGTACCTGTTGCGTGCAGTCAGCAAAATGCAGCAAATCAGTTTTGTTTGATTGACAACTGCAGAGTAGAGAATACACTAGTCCTGGTATGACACTGATAACATTCCAGCTCACTGCTCTAGTAGAACAAAGTATTTGCACATTTCAAAACTTGAGTTGTTGTAGTCTTGTTCCTGCCAATTTACACTAGGAGGCTCTGGATAGTTGATGGCATTGTTTTCATTTCAAGTGGTTGCTATATTTGTGGTTTAGTCATGAGTCTAACTGTTGTAGAACTGCATAAGATGCGTCTCAGAGACCTCTGATTTCACTTATTGTAGTTTTGGTGCTATCAATGAACACTAGGATTCTCTGTAGGATTGGTGTTGAACTGATGTGGAAATATACACTAGGATAATATATGCTTGCTGTCATAGATTGTTACTGTTGTGTTT